AAAGCCCTCCAGTCTGAGAAGAATCCAAAGAGCAGTTCTACATAGTGGTAAAGTTCCTTACACATGTCAACCCCAGGATACTTTCTGAGGATGGGTGGAAGGTGTCACGAATATAGACACCCATCTACTGTGAAGGAAAGACCCTTTTCTTCTCAACTGTGTGGGAACTTTTACTGAAAAAACAAGGATGGACAAGTATTTGAACAGGAAGCACAGCCACTGCCACCTTTGTTGCAGCCTTTGTTTTGAGATATGAAGATTCTTTTAAGTGTTTTACCTTCTTTCTATAAATTTTGGACACATACATAAACCAGCAATGTCTTTAAAAGATAACCAATGACACAGCTACTGGCAAACAGAAATTGTGAAAGTAATTTTTGCATTGACATCTACATGCACCCAATAAGACACAGGTGAAATTACTGTGCAAGTTATCTTCACAGGAGTTAACAGTGATCACAGTATACTCAGGTATAGTGCTGAGTACTCTGTGATCTGTACAACTCCATACAGACCACAAAGTAGTCAGCATTACACAGTACTCAGAGCATCACAAAACATTTGTATATAACATGTATGATAAAGTGTGGAGGGACTGTTTTTTGTTTCCAGTAGCTAAGAAAAGTGAGACTATGCTCAAGGAATGAGGATTAAACAGTAGCAGGGAAGCACTTGTGACACAAGTGAGAGTAAGTGTAGTTCTCCACATGATGAGTGAAAACAGCCACTGCTAAAATTCCTCTTGTGTCAGGACTGGAAGAGGAGATTGGTTAGACACCACAGGGAGACTGCCTGTTCATTATTCAGAGGCTGTACTGCATTGCTCCTTATTTAAAGTTGCAGTCTGTTACTTTTACCAGACAGCTGTGTTTTGCTTTTACTGCCTGTCACTGTGTGGCATCAATAAGATTTCATTTTAATTTGAATGTCAATGTAACATTAAATACTACTGACATGACAGCACAAAGCATTGGCATCTTTATACCAGAATGGCCAAATCTTCTAACTGAGCAGTGAACAGGAAAGGTAGTTCCAGCTGTGGGAATGCCTATGGCTGCATTTTTTCTTCCCCACAAAAACTAGAGGTGTCTCAGGGAGAAAATTTCAAATTGGACAGGGGAAAAAAACCCACAACCCAAATTATGAAACTGAATTATGAAAGAAGAACTGACATTTTCTCGACCAAAAAAAAACCAAAAACCCTGTCACATGAGACAGTTGTGGCTACAACATGTATAAACTTATATTTTTACATGCAGATCTCTATTGATGTCTACTACTCTTAGGGAATTAAAGCCATCTTAAAAGTCTTTTTTTGTTCCTTGGGTTTTACAAACACTTCCCACGATGGTTAAAAAGAAAAGTATATTGGGGAGGGGGGCAAAGAAGAACTTTGCTATTTTTGCAATCTCTGTTTGAGAGAAGTAAGAAATAACAGAAAGGAAAATTTGTACAATTTTGGCTTCATTCTTAAGACTAAAATAATCCACTATCTTCTCATATTGAAAGACTCTCTTACTTCTTATGTCATTGGTATATAAAAGATATTTACAATGGAATAATCTATTGAAACCTGAGATCATCCTCAGGTAAAAGAATTTAGTCCCATCAAGCTTATGTTGTCATTTCCACAGCACTGAGATATGAATGCTCACAGTCATTCCCTCTGACACCAGTGTAGAGGCACTATAAGTGAAAACAGACACTTTCTCTTATTCATCCTAACATATTTTCATGCTAGTTTTAAGGAATTGGCTTCATATAAACTTGTTTTACATGAAGTAGACAAGTTTTCTTCTCTGTTCCTCTTGTTTTTTTCTCCTCTGGTAGACTCAGATTCAGCTATTGCTGAAATTACAGTTTCATTGACTCTCATTCATATGTACTTACCCTGCCAATCTCAGGCTAAAATATTTAAAAGAAATGTTATTGTCTCCATTTTTCTGAAGCAGTTTCCTTAAATACAATCACTATAATTTTAGGCCTCAGTCAAAGTATTTTCTTAGTTTCTCAAAGCAGTTGAGAAAGAGTACAGATTTTTTTTTCAGGATCCTTTCCAGTAAAAAAATCTCTCTCCCCATTGTGCTAAATCCATTTCCTTCAAATCATCTTGTAGTTATAGATCAAAAAATAAAATTACTATAATTTCTAGCTTCCCTTCAGTATTGTTCTTACACTGAAGCAATTTCCTGTATAGCAGATTTCATTAGAACTTGAATCCTTTAGATTTCCTTTTAATATCTGCTTATATTCTGATTTCTGCAATTTATACAAACGACTCAGATTCTGAGTTTATAGAATTCTTTTTTTTTATAGAATAGTTTTATTATGTTAGTAATGAGATTCTGAAAACAGAAAGTTTCTTTATCCACATTTCTGTTCTCATGGATCATTAGCTTTTTATTCTGTCATATTTGTAAATTTAACATCATCCACAGAATTCACAAAGTTAAAAAAGATGGAAAGGTAGTTGCACAGAACTGAAATAGTAAACTTTTAAGTTAGTCTTTATAATAATTGCAATGGTTCTAAAATTCAAGCTTTGAAGCTGCACTAATCTTAATTTCAATAGCATTAATGGGAAGAAAAGTACTTCAAAGACCAACAATTAAGTGCAGTTGATGTATCCCTTGTGGGCAGCAAGAACTCAGCAACCAGATAGGGAATAACCAGAATTGATTTACCACTAGATTTATTACACCATCACTTCTCCTAGCTCTTTCTAACAGTCTTATGATATTCATTATTCAATTTCATTCACTCCAGCATATATATTTCTTACTTCCTTCAGTGAGACCACATTTTAACGCTCTTTTAACTTTTTTCTTTGTTTTAGTAATTTTAAAGTATCTGGCATTATATTTCAATCTGAAAAGTGAATAAATAAACTGCAGAGTAATCTCTCAGGGAAGTTAATTTGAGCTGTAAACTACATCTTGATTAATCCCAACAGATAATTATCATTTTGTGTTTGATGTATTTATCAAATGCAAAATGGACACATTTGTTTAGTAACTGCATTGGAACTGCACCAAAAACTCCATTCCCATCAAATAATGAGTATAAATTTCTGTTATATCTAATCTTTTAAATAATGCTAGGCTTGGACTCATTCAGAAAAAGAATGGGAGTCAGCACTGCAGCCAATTTTCAAAGCATTGCAAAAGAATGCATCTTCTGCTTGTATCAATTTATAAATGGTGAAAAGTCCCACACTGAAGTGTTTGGAAATAACATAGAATATGTTTTCTTGTTACAGTTGATGGAAGTCACCTGGTTAGATGGTCACTATCTCAAAATGTATTATCTTGAATTTGGCTTCCTGAAAATACACATGAAAAGTAAGGAATTAGACTGTATTTACAAATGGGGACTGTCTCATGTGAGAGCCGGCAGGAGGAAAAGTCATTACAGAGGAACATTTCAACAGGAACTGCTGCAAATTGATCACATATGATACACTAAATGAGATATCTGGCAACAACAACAAAAAAGTAAAATGTTATGAAGAGATAGGAAAGTGAGTTTTGCTTCTGTACACAATATTGTTAAGATTACTGTTAGAAGACTGTGTCAAATTCTGCCTACACACTTCAGAAAATGTGAAAATACTTGGAAGAATAGAAATCAGAGATTCAAAACTAATCAAACAGCCAGGAAAAGAAGTCTTAAGACATGAATGTTAGCTTACATAGAAAAATCTGGTACAGGAGAGCAAATCTTACTAGAATTGTGAACTGAAGTGTAACAAAATCAAGCTATTGGATGCAGAAATTAAGCCAAATTCCATCTTTAAACAAAATGCTATTTCTAAATGGTAGGTGGAACTGATCACTGCAACAGGATTTGAAACCAACTGATTCAAGACACTTGAAACCAGAGGCCTTAAAATAAGATTATTTTTAAAACAAATGTTTTGTTCCTTTTTCCAAAGGAAAGATTCTACAGTCTCCATAGGCAAATCAGAGTAGATTTGCCTAGTGGTTCTTTCTGGATTCTGAAACAAAATGAAAGAATATATACTATTCAAATTTAAAAGAAAAAAAAATCATTTTAACACTTTTCATCTAGCCAGAGAAACCTTCCTTTCCTTTATGGTTCTGTAAGAAAAAAACGCTAGAAGTAGGATGAAAAAATTTCAGATTTACCAGGCACAGCAGAAAGACAGAAGGGAAAGTGAATGATTTCTGCTTTTCCACAGCTGGCTCCAATCCAAAGGGAACCCAGCAGATGTACTAGAAAGAGCTATGATTCCGTTTCTGTGCCACTGTGTGATGTGGTCCTCTGCTCTGCAGGATTCAACAGGAGCTTATGGAAGCTGATGTGAAAGGCAATAAATTGAAGGCAAAGGGAACTTGGAGATTCCTTGAAACCTGGACAAAATATCTCTATGTGTGTTGGAAACAAACTAATTATCCCCAAAGTTATCCCCCCCCCAAAGACTAATTTTTTTTGCCAGCTAAATTACTTAAATTAATTACATGCAAACTGTGGGACAAATGCACTGTTTGTCGAAACTTGTTCACTCAGGTCTCCTTCCAACATACTTCATCCTGATCCTGACAAGCAGTCAGGACACATCAAGAGTGTGCACTCAGGCACACTGTATTCTTTTTATTCTCATTTGTACTCCTATTTTTTTTTTTAATTTGACTGCAGAGATTGAATGTTCCATTTTTAAAATCTATCTCTGTATAAGTTTTCTGCTACAGTGTAACACTAATATATTCAACCAACATGTCACAAGTTACTTTTCAAATCCCACTGCTAAGTCTTCAAAATAATAAAGCTTTCTAAATTTGAAAGGTTACAGTTTTGCTTTTAGTAATTTTCTTGAATTACTAACACCTGTCCAGCCATGTAGACAAGCAAAATTCAGTCTCCTAACCACAGTACATTCTAGGAAATTACCTTCACCATTCCACGAGAAATCACTGCAGCTGAGAAACACACATTTCCTCACAAAACAGTCAATCAGACCATATTTGTGAGCTACTTACTTGTGTAAGTGAGCTGAAATCCTTGGTCAGTATCAGATCCATTGGTATTAAACTCTATCCACAAATGGTTAGAGGTGCTATTAAGGATAATTCCCATCATGTCATTTTTGGTGAAGGATCCCAAAGAGCGTGAAGAACTGTCTTTTCCATCATACACCTTGTAGAAACAAAATAATAGTATGAAACTGGACATCAAATCTAAATTTTTTAAATCTTTAGTTTATCTTTATACAATATTTCCAAAGTTAGATATGTATCACCAATAGTTTCTCCAAAAACTTAATGTTTCAATTTTGTGAGGTACAGACCACTTGGTTATGCAGTTCAGTGAAATATAAAATATTCTGTCACACTTAAGGTGTTATACAGTCTTTTTTCCTTTTCAGTTTTCTGAGTTCATCTTGAATGAAATTAATATTTATATGCAACTCTATCTTCTGAGGTTTCATAAGATCAGATTATTTTTCACTATTATTCACAAAGGCTAACAGAAGTATAATTTCAGAAATCACCACTGAAGTAAGGCTGTAGGAGGTAAACCCTTACAGCCTACTCTGTTCTCTCCTGTCTGGACATATCAACAGCAGAACTGAGGTATTAAAGTCAATCTGTCACCTTTTATTTCAGACTCTGAGCCTGCAGTAAGTTTTGTTTTACTATAGGTTTTAACAAAGAAAGATAGGTCTTCAAAAAGATATGTGAGTCTATTTCCAAACTAAGTGTAGAGATGTTCTTATTTATGATGTTACTTTATTGAAAACTATCAATAGAAGACAAAATCAACAATACCTCTGCAATTTTACAAATCCTAGAATGAATAAGAATGTCTTTTCAATTGTTCACTAATATAGGACAAGTACAAAGAGTTGGCTCAGGGGTGAAAAATTATTTTTGCTTATTGCAAAACCTTGAAAGCCATAAAGTACCAAAATGGTCTTCTGTGTGTTTTTTGTGTGTCAAGATGAGTTAAAAAAAGCTAATTTCTTCTTTAAATTAATCACCCATACATTCTCATGAAAAAATAGGCAAATATGAAGTGTATTTCCTACTTCCAAACCATATACCATCCCTCATGTGGATGCTTATATAAAGGAAGCCATGAATCTTAACGGCTGCTTTCTAATATGAAGTAAAAGATAATTCACCCTGATCTCATATGTCGTAGAGTGACTGTAGACAACTAGTGCAAAAGGTACAATTACAGTAAATATCTTAAACTCTGGATCTTCATCTCTCCATTCTCAGACCTTGTGGTAGAGTGAGGGTTTATGCTGATTCCAGCCAGAAGCAGGCAGTGACCTATTCAACAATATAAATTGCTACAATTAAGTCACAGACACTTCTTCCTATTTGAATGTCCAGTTAGATCTATTAATGAAATTTAGAAATGCATCTTTTGAGAGGACAGACCACTGCAATTACATTTATGGATGATGACCAACAGTTAAAAGCAGAGTTATCTTCTCAGTGGAGCAAATACCAGCATACCATCATTATAGGTGAATGTCTTGAAAGTACCTCATTCATCTCAAGTGCCAACATGAATGAAATAACAACATCCATAAAGATTTTTTAAGATAAAAGCATAAATTCATTTAAATAAACATACACAGATATAAATAATAAACTTCCCTAAAAGAAGCTTTTGAAAAATAATGTATTATGCTAGGTATTGATAAAACAATACATTCTTTCCTTATTACTAAGGCAAAGATTGTCTTATATCAGGGCACATAGATGAGCTATTGGAAGACACAATTGTATTTAAGATTCATGCAAGCAGTAACACATAGTTAATGTCTACCTCTTGGCAGGAATAAGACTTTAAGCTGTACTGAGAGTATCTGAAAAAATGCTTCCAAGCTTCTACCATTGTCCTGGGCCAGAACTACAGATCACTTTCCCAGACTAATTACACTTTATTTATCAGAGCTAGAAATCTATTGTACAAAATAAATAAGCATTCATTCACCATAAAATTTATTTTTCAATAACATTCTGTTCATGTATATTATGCAAAAAGCTTAGATATATTTTACTTGGTTTGAGAGCTATTGCTTTGGATGGCATGATCTATTTTTAGCTGTAATTAATAAAAATGCTATCTATGTTTAAAAAAAAGTGATTGTTATTCATCTTTAAAAAAACCAACAACTGCTCATTACTACAATTGTCCCTTAGACATTCTGTTCCAACAGTGTTCTACCTCACTGTTACAGATACTCTTCCTAACTCAGGATCAGCAAGTTAAATAATAGTATCTCTCAACATGAATCCAGACACAAATGAAAACATTGTTTTATGAAATAAAAATGAGATAAGAGGGATCATGTGAAAGCAGCTGTAAAAAAAGCTGTGACAATTTTTAACTGGTGATACTTCCCCAGCTGTTGTTAACATTACAGATGTAAGTAGGTACATGTCTACTCTTGTAATTGAAACAGTGTTAGTAAACAAATATAAGCACTGAATCTCCACTGTCTATACTGATAACTTGTTCGAACTATCCCTGGGAAAGAAAAAGCGTTGTCCCTAACAATTCTTGGTCATGATTTGGTAATTAGTGTGGGCCAAGGACCATTCCCAATAGGCAGCTTTTGTGCAGCCATTGTGTTCTGTCCTATGTGTCTGTCTCCAGAGCCAGAGAACACGTTTAATATACTAGTCTAGACATTATTACTATTAACTCATATATAGTGTGCCTGTTTAACTCATTCAGAAGAACCCATTTGAAATATAATTCACATGCTACAATTACTATTTTCTCTGTCATGAAGAAAAAAGGAAGGTCTATTTGGCCAAATAAATGAAAGACATGAAATTACATTCTGGTTTTCCTCTTACCTCTAACAAATTCACAGTGATTGCATTATAAAGATTTCACCATAAGTAGCCACTTTAAGAATTATGAAATTTCAAGTGGGAGTTAAAGCAGGGAGGTCGGGAAGCTGAAGTGTTAGTGAGTGAGAAAGGATAAGCTTTAAAATAAACAGATAATCCAGGTACTCAGTTTTGCCATATGCCTCAAAATGGTGATTCTCTTTCTATTTCTTTACTTGAGTTCAGATTTCTTTCCTGCTAATTCAAGTTCAAACTTTGCCACAGCTATGGAAAGCTTTGCCCACAACTTACAGTCCTTAACCTGCATGTATTATCCCTGAAAGCATTAGATTTGACCCTTCCTCATGCACTGGTCTTACTGATGTCAGAAATGCCCTTGCAAATTATGTTATTCCCTATGTACCATAGCCTCGATATCCAGCCTCAATACTCCCACTTGTTCCAACAGTAAACCTAGTTGCATATATACAGCCAAAGGTGGTTTATATTTTCAAAGCCAGTAAACAGTGCCAGAGTCCAGTCACCACAACTTGATTGTCTACACAGTATTTATTGTCAGTACATCCCTGGCATGCATTTAATGCAGACTTACTAACAAACACCGTCACAAATCTTTCCAGAGGAAGCATTAGTGCAGGAGCTGCATAGGCCAGGGACTGTTTCTGAGAGACAGTTTGAGTGAGCCACCTTGTTTTGTAAGATTAGAGAGTTTAACGTTATGGATGTAGTCAAACTGCAGAAGCTGGCCTCAGGGGCAGCAGGGAATGATCACAGCTTTGTTTGGAGCACTAGGATAAATGTAGCCAGAGCATTTAGGGATGCCCCATTTCACCTAAACATTTGTGAGGAACTAAAAGGGAAGTGCTTGCTCTACTGCTGGGATTAAAATATGCAGGCAAGAGAAGAGGACAGTGCTACAATTATTCATGAGGTGAAATGCTCTAGTAACAGTGCTAATGTATCTGCACCTGCTGTGGGAATGTAAAAACAGACACTCACCTGAAGGAGAAGAAAATGCTGGCTAGATTTTCTTAAACTCCACTTTCTCATTCTGACAGTAAAAAGAAATTACTTACAACTAAATTGCAGTTTTCCTTAACTGTGGAGATCTTTATGGCATAAAATCATCCCAAAGGGAAATGCTTTTAAAATATTGCTTCGATGGTCCAAGAGATAATTCCTGTACAGCTTGCTGACATTGTTATGCATTTTCCTATATACATTCCTAAATCTTGTCATTACATCCTCATGGAATTCTTAGCAATCCTACCTCAAACAAATAGTAATATTATAAACTTCATAAAACATTCGTGTTGGGTTGACCTTGGCATTATCAGGATTGTTTCTTACAATTTTTTACTCACTCCTCTTTCTCACACACTACTGTGCAGCATTTTTTGCCCTTTCTTAAGTATGTTTCCCCCAAGGCGCCCCAGCCTGGTCTGCGGGCCTGAGCGGTGCCCTGGGGTGGGTGGGTTGGAACCGGCTGGAACCAGCTGTGTCCGGCTCGGGGCAGCCCCGGCCGCTCCTCACAGAGGCCGCCCGGCAGCCCCCCGCTAACAAAACCTGGGCACCTGCACCCAATGCAACATTACATATGTACAGATTTTCTTTAAAAAGATATTCAGACGGGAAAATGCCCTATATTTCAGCACAAGGTTTATAAATATTCTTAAGCCTTATTGCATCCCTTGCAACCTGCCTGCAAGGCAGTCTTGGGGCTTTCTTCTATGCAAACACAAGATAGAAGGCTGGTGTTTATAACATATTTTGTGCATATTTAGGGTAAAGATAGGAAAGAAAACAAACTTCAGAAATCCAGAGCCCTGCCAAAGCTGTGGGAAAGGTAAGCCTTTGGAGAGTATCTTAATTTCCCAATTGCTCAGACTGTAGATCTGGTCAGAGCACGTGAAAATTTAATTCTGTCTCACATGCTCAGTTCTCCTTCCCATGCAAATCAGGACAGGAACAGGAAGAGGGAGAAGAGAGTAGATAGAATATATTTGCTTAAACATTAACCGAAGCATACAACCACAGTTAAGGCACATTGCTCTCTACAGCTTGAGGAGGGGAAGCAGAGAGGGAGGTGCTGATCTCTTCTCCCTTGTATCCAGTGGTAGGATGTGTGGGAATGGTTCAAAGCTGCGCCACGGGAGGTTTAGACTGAATATTAGGAAGCATTTCTTTACTGAGAGGGTGGTCAGGCACTGGAACAGGCTTCCTAGAGAGGTGGTCGATGCCCCAAGCCTGTCAGTGTTTAAGAGGCATTTGGACAATGTCCTTAATACCATGCTTTAACTCTTGGTCAGCCCTGAACTGGTCAGGCAGTTGGACTAGATGATCGGTCCCTTCCATCTAAAATATTCTCTTCTATTCTATTCTATTTCTGAATAATTTTAGGGAGTAAAATAAAATAAAATAAAATATTATGTTAGCTGAGAATGAACTCATCCTTCCTGCTGAAAAATTAGGTGCTGTAGTCCATAAGATATTTCCCTTTTCCCTACCTGATATTAAAAAGGCTAATTTCTTTGAAAAAAATGTAAAAATAAAATGGAAAAGAAATGCAATAGTGACCTCTGATAAATTGTTGAAGAAGACAAATATATGACCGTGTATGAAGGAGAAGACATCACCCCACATGTATATAAACAAAATTGATAATTAGTCCTAAAGATGTTGTAGCGCTGAAATATGAGTTTATAGAGGACTGAAGAAGGTTAAAAACAAAATAGGGGACAGTATTTTGCCTCTGTATATAGTACTGCCTTGTAGTATCCATTTATTGAGTTTTCTATTTAGTTTTGGTCTGTGCATGGGCAGAAGGGCAGAGTAGAGCTGTGGAAAGTGCAGACACAGGCAATGATTGAGGAGCAGCTGCCTTGGAAATAGAGGCTAAGTTTGGACAGAAGAAGGCTGAACAGGGATATGATCAAGGTTTACAAAACCATGAAGGCATTAGAGAACATGAATACAAAACTATTCATCAAATCCTGTATTGTTAGAGCAAAGAAGTACTTAATGAAACTTGATGTTTCATTAATCAACTAACGATGTTGATTTCAAAGAGATGAAAGAATCTACTTCTTTACACAGTACATAGTGAACTTCTAGGATTTGCTGTCATAGAAGAGGCTTCTAGCAGTATCAACTAATTTAAAGGACTACCAAAATTCAAAGACAACATGTCAGTAGCAGATGGAAGAGACAGCAAAGTGTGGCCTAACTTAACCCAACAGCTGTGGATTTTGGGGGAGTGTAAGGGCAATGGAGCACAGACAGTGGCCAAGCTTGCATATTTTAGCTAAATAAAACCACCTATCACTATTATCAAGAAAGCATATTGAGCTAGGTGGACCACTTGGTTCAACTTGGCAAGGTAACTGTTATGTTTCCAAGATAACTGGCATTGCTGTGGAAACAAAAATTCTTCATGCTGGCTTCCTGTACTAGGTTGCTGGAATGTTCTCTCCTTTCAGCTAGCAGGCTTTAAATCATCACAAAGTGTCTTTTTAGTGGTAAGCAAGCAGGCAGTATCATCTCATGATGCATGGCAAGACTGGAAAGAACATTTCTTTCAGTCTAGAAGAATATCTCCTATAGATTAACCAAAGAAATCAGAAGCTGACAAGTTTATAAAACCTGAATGCTAGAGATACTTTAGCCACTAATATAAACAGAGCTAGGATGCAAGCCCAAACATTAACATTCAGTTGTGCACTCTGTTCAACCTCTGGCACATTTTCAGTCAAGATTTTGGCCTGCTCCTTTTGGCAGTCCTCTGGACAATGCCTGGGTAAGTTTGGGGGCCAGATCAAGGGCTGATACCAATGGAAATATGAACAAGGACATCCTGGCATGGGAGTGGATAAGAAATAGACTTTATTTTTATAAATGCAGGTTACGGAGGGCATAGGGGCAGAGAGTTTAATTGTATAAATGGAAGTTGTGGTGTGCCAGTTGCCTCAGAACCAGAGAACAGGCCTTGCAGTACAGATATCACCACAATTTTGCCTTTGCTTCCTTTGGATCCTCAAGAGTATTGTGCTAACAGATCTATGAAAGAAGAAAGTATCTAGCAGATTGCTCAGAACAGCTTTCTCTCAGGCAAATCTTTCTTATATCCCCAGGGAATATCTCTAAGTATGCTTGATATTACTCATGAAATGTTCTGAAGGATAACTGAGTTTCTTAAATGTTTGTTTAGAGTCTTCTAAGGGTTTTTTTTGTTCAGCTAGTTTATTAAATTATTTATAAACTTGATACGTGCAAAGCTTCTGGGAGACTTATGTACCATATTCAAGCAGCTCAGTGGGTGTCGTTGTTTAACCCCAGCCAGCAACTAAGCACCACACAGCCACTCACTCCCTCCCTCCCACCCAGAGGGATGGGGGAGAGAATCGAAAAAAGAAGTAAAACTCATGGGTTGAGAGAAAGACAGTTTAATAGGACAGAAAGGAAGAAAATAGTAATAATAATAATGATGATAATGATGAATATACAACACAAGTGATGCACAGTGCAATTTCTCACCACTCACCGACTGATGCCCAGTTAGTCCCTGAGCAGTGATCCACCCGCCCCAGCCAACTCGCCCCAGTTTATATACTGGGCATGACATCACATGGTATGGAATATCCCTTTGGGCAGCTGGGGTCAGCTGTCCTGGCTGTGTCTCCTCCCAACTTCTTGTGCCCCTCCAGTCTTCTTGCTGGCTGGGCATGAGAAGCTAAAAAATCCTTGACTCAATCTAAACACTACTTGGCAACAACTGAAAACATCGGTGTGTTATCAACAGTCTTCTCATACTGAACCCAAAACATAACATTATACCAGCTACTAAAAAGCAACTTAACTCTATCCCAGCCGAAACCAGGACAGTGGACAATTAAGTTCTTCCTTGTCTGCTGCATCTGTTCAGAGCAAAAATACTTTTGGGGATCTGCACTGTCATATCATGGAATACGGGAGCAAAGGACAATATAGATTACACATTTTGCCCACCTACTCAATTCTTTTATCTAAAAGGAAAACCATTGGCCAAGGTCTTGCAGTGTTTCATCCATGGTGGCCACACAAGCATGGAGGCGTTTATTATCAATGATTTTGTGGGTAAAGATGGAGAAAATGCTGTTCTTTTGACTGTAACTTTCTAATACTATTGGGGATTCTAAAAGTTTTGCTTATTTCATGGTCTAATTCAGCCTGTACTTGCTAAAATGAACAGGTATGATAACAAAGATATGAATGTTTATATTAATAAATACTTAAAGGGAAGTCTTTTTTTTTTTTTTTTTTTCTCCCCACCTTCATTGTATCTCTAAATGCCTTGTACTTTGCAGGACATGTATAACTTCAGATTGAATTGTCACACTTATTTACATAAGGAATCTCTTAAGATGACAAAATGGATAAAAGCATGGCCACCAAAATTTGATCAATAACAATGATATCTTTAAACTACTTGTGGGAAGCATTCAGTGCAAATAAAAATAGTAACATCAAATTAAAAATGTAGGCAGCAATTTCTGACATGTTAAATGGTTGCTGTGAGATCCTCAGAAAGCAAGTTGCTAACTGAATTCTGAATACTTGGTGATTGAAGTATCAATTAACTCTGAAAATTTAGAGACATAATTTTGAAAGAATAATTTAATGTATGCTCAGCACTTCAGATGAATGTCATGATTTTCAGTACATACAAGTATGCAACAGCTATTAGTAAGACAAGACGAATTATGGCCATGGTGTAGAAATGTACATTACATGTTCAAAATCTGTATATATTTAGCCTGTGTTTCAAAGGCTATGTACAGAACAAAAGAATGAAAACCATCTTCTGTAACTACAGTTTTAGTCAATATTACAATGCTATATGTTAGCTAGATTCTTTCTATTCAAATGAGCAACATAATTAATTTGAAACAAAAACAAAAAAAGTTCTGTGCAAGACAAAACAAGAAAATAAAAATGTACCAAAATTAAAACCTGTCCTTTCTTAAGTAATCACTGTGCTACACTTACAAATATTGCTGCAAACAGAAAATAATGTAGACACTTTAGTAATCGAAATCCAAGTTCACATTTTAGGTTTTCTTTTTAGAATTTAACCCACTGTAAACAGCCTAATACTTCTATAAATGTAACTGAACTCTTAATGTCATCTATAGTCCCTTTGAATCTAGTATAAATAAGTAAATCTAGTATAAAGAAAGTGATGCTATCCACATAGAATTTATTAATTTTGTGTGAGAAAGTGAAATGAAAATAAAAATAATTGGTGTTAAGAGCAGAGTTGTTATGCAATATGAATGTTGAGCATGGTAGAAAGTGACATTATTTTCTTTTTACCTTAACAATATCTCCCTCATGCAGCTGAAAGCTCCTGGCTCTGAGATGGATCCCTTTTCCAGCCTCTGTTTCAATTTTATAGATACATTCATGGTTGTTGTCATAATTAGATGGATAATTTGGAGACAGCAAGGTTCCTTCATTTGCAGAGACAGTTGCTCCACATTCAGCTAAAGAAAACAGACACATTTAAAAAAAGAAGTGAATTATCCATTTCAAGAAAATATGGGTTATTTGCAGTAATATTTAGACTCTGTGAAAATTCTAGTGGGCTATCTAGGAAAAGTATATTTCTCTCAGATTTCATCTGTAGGACCAGCTCCTAGAAATCCTACCAAAGTTGCTATCTGTCTCCTGCATTTCACTGGGTACATTTATTATGTGCACTTACATGCTTTCACGTAATTCCCTTTACCTCCAATTTATCCCGTGGTCCTCCCATCAGACTAATCTATAATGCAGGTTAGCTGGATTCCATAAAAATTGGATGTTTTGTTGAAATATTGTTATTGTGGTAAGATTTCAAATAAATGTAACATTGATTTTTACTTCCCTATTCTTCTTTACAAACAAGTACTAGAAAAAGCAGACAATAAGCTGCTGAGATAAAAGAATCCGGCAATAAATCAAGAGCATTCAAACATGTTTTTCACCACCAGGAATAACAATGAAAAAACTAAAAAACAGACCAACATTTACTGACATCAGTCAGGGCCAAGCAGACAGCTCCCTTCTTTTCCATGTAGAGTGTAGATGAGTCTTTTTCACAGCCATCTGTAGTACAAACTTACTGACACTTTCAGGAGTAGACATTTTTGTCATTGCTCCCCAGTAAAGAAAATAATAAAGTGTAGGAAGAGTGGTATGTTCCAGCTCATGGGCTCAGTTTGAGTTCTGAATAAAGACTAATAAAATTATTCCAAATGTGCAGTATAAATTTCAGCGCATAAATGAAAACATGCAAACAGATAGAAAATAATATTGGTGTGCTGTTCAAATATTCAAAATGCTTAAAAATGGCCTAAAAATACCTTATAAAATCCCACAGTAACAGTAACATACTAATATTAATCTACAATTTCTTTTAAGGTGCAAGAGATTGGTATTTATATCTCATTGTTCAGTCTAAAGATAAAATATACCATGTGAAATAGAGATTTTGACATAAACGTCATTCAGACCTCATTCAGACTTTGGTAAAAACCTGTTATAACATTTATAATAATAATAAAATAACACATAATTGTAAATCAACAGATGTATTTTATACAAGATGTGATAGGTTTAAAAAAATATGTGTTTTTCTAGAAATATTCAATAGATTTTTAGGTTTCATAGGACATTAAAATATTCATTTTTGGAAGTGTGTGGAGTTTACAATTTTGGGTAAAACAGTATAGTTTAACAAGTATATATGTAACGAATGATTTTGAAAATATAGTGTAAAGATAGATCAGAAAATAATTCGTTTAAACATATTCAAGAAGAAATGTATGTTTCATATTTACAAATAAACAATCTAAAAATTTTCTGTTTACATTTCCGAGTCCTTCACAGACATCATCAAATTTATATGCTTCCTGCTTTTGAAAAGTCTAAAAACAATGATATTTTCTGTATTTTTTACTTCCTCCCCACAAAAAAACTGAAGAAAAAAGGGAGGAAGAAGGAGAAGGAGAGGGAGGCAGGAAGGCATGGAGGGAAAGGGGAAGGAGGGAAGGAAATATGAAAGGGGGGAAGAAAGGAAGTGGAGGGGGAATGAGATAGTTACAGTCTTACTGGAAGTCTTATTTCTACTCTACATTTGGGATCTCCTTAGGCAAAGTGAAGAAGGAAATCACCAGTAAGCTGGCTCTGGATCTTTGGTTTTGTGCACAGTTAGAGTTCATTTGCTATTTTCAGGTAGAGCTTTATGTTCTCCCCTTCCTTAGCTTACTTAGGCCCTGAGCTGCATTATATTTATTAGGCAGAAGAGTGTTGAGGAGTAAGAATTCCTGCCACCAAACTTCGGACAGCCAAACCCTTCCTTTGTTGGGGACTGTGAGATGCACCGGGTATTTCTAACATGTTTAAAGTCACTTTACTTTGTCTAAATGTTTCAAAGAACCATAGTAGACTGACAAATTGTCGTGGTTTAACCCCAGTCAGCAACTAAGCACCACGCAGCCGCTCACTCCCCCCCCATCCAGTGGGATGGGGGAGAAAATTGGGAAAAGAAGTAAAACTCGTGGGTTGAGATAAGAACGGTTTAATAGAACAGAAAAGAAGAAACTAATAATGGTAATGATAACACTAATAAAATGACAACAACAATAATAAAAGGATTGGAATGTACAAATGATGCGCAGTGCAATTGCTCACCACCCGCCGACCAACATCCAGCTAGTCCCCGAGCAGCGATTCCCCCCACTCCCCAGTTCCTAAACTAGATGTGACATCACATGGTATGGAATACCCCCTTGGCCAGTTTGGGTCAGGTGCCCTGGCTGTGTCCTGTGCCAACTTCTTGTGCCCCTCCAGCTTTCTCGCTGGCTGGGCATGAGAAGCTGAAAAATCCTTGACTTTAGTCTAAACTCTACTTAGCAACAACTGAAAACATCAGTGTTGTCAACATTCTTCACATACTGAACTCAAAACATAGCACTGTACCAGCTACTATAAAGACAGTTAACTCTATCCCAGCTGAAACCAGGACACAAATGAATGAGATTTTTATTATTGATACTTCTTTGGTAAAGGATCTTTCAAATATATGATACATACTACATATGGTTACATATACATATCTCAATACATTTGTGTGTACATATTCATATGTAGCTATTTTTGTCTTTGATTTTTAGGAAGGATGTGGAACTAATTAAGTTTACAAAATGTAATTCAAAGCAATGCCAACATTAATGCCAGACTTGTTTAGAGCCATACTACTCCATGCCTTCTTGTGTTTACGACACCAGTACTCTACACAAGCCTTCTGCAAACAAGTGTTTGCCCCAATAAAGATCCATGCAAAAGTATCTATGTTCCCTTAGGCTGCATTGGTATCTTATTATCTACCCCCTTCAAAGAACTGGACAATATAGAAGTAAAATGCTGAAGAGGAGAAGAAAATAAGAAAATGTTATGGAAGCAAAGGTTTTTTCTTACATAACATTCATACAGTATTCTACATTTTGTTTCAGTGATGGACTGTAAACCACTAAGACCTATGCAGTAATAGAAAAGGTGTACAATGGGCTTTCTCTAATCTAGAACTGGCCAAATTTCCTGCTCCGATAAGTCTGTGTTCCAAAGTTCAAAACCACGGCAATTTAATTATGAGAAGAAAAGTACTGATGTATAAGATGAGGGATAATGAGGGTTACGAACTCGAGTTAATATGATATTACTACCCCTCTAAAGTACACTACATTCTGCAAGCAGCAGACATGCTTTCTTCTATGAACAATTAGTTATTTACTAAAATTCAATTACATTGCAAAATTCTTCGAATACAAGTTGACACTCAAATACCTCCAACCCATGTTGTACAACTGTACTCTGTTTTCAGTGCATACCACCCCTTCTCAAATACCTTGCAAATATTTGACAGCTACGCAGTTTCCTCAGGCCCTATCATTCCCTTCGTTATCATGACAAAGGATGCTCATGTTGTCTGATCAGTCAAGTTTCCTAGCTCATCTCATGTCAGTCAGTAAATCACTGACGCAGGCCCCAGAAAGAGGTTTCCAAAGCAAAGCAAGCCCTTCTTTGCAAAATTCCCTCCCTCAATAGGAAAATTATACAGAACGTGTCACAGTTCAGGTTAAGGTTTTCTCGCCACTTTTTGCTAATATTAAGATACCAGGTTAAGGCCATGTTTAATCCCCCAATTTCTTGACCTGGAGATTTAGGTGACTTTTTTTCAGAAAAACATTGGCCTCATCCATGGAAAGATTCCTTTCTCTCCAGACCATCCAAGCTATTGGAGATCTGGTGTCCTGATGCCTGAAATCTCTTTCATTTGTGATCAATGCCCCGATACACAAAGGACCTTGTGTTCTAAGGACTTCAACTGAGTATTTTTCTAACTGTTCCTACACACTGCAATCCAGAACTGCATGAGGTCCCTACACATAATGAGGGACTAGAAACTCAAAAAAGCAGCCATGAACAGCAATACTGAGTCTGGTCTTGTCAGCAGTAAAAGCTTATGCAGTCAAAGGCATCTCTCCCCTTCAAGGCCCTAATATTTTACTCAGCAGTATAAGAAATGTCATGCTTTTTTTCTTTAAAAATATCTACAGTAGCTGATACTGCTGCTGCTTTTTTATACAGTAATTAACACACGCAGCCAGAATGTGTGACACCTAAATTCAATTCAGTTTGCCTCTGGGGATTTAAACATGCATCTCCTATGACTTCTGCTTCACGTAAAGGGATTAGAAAATCAGTTAGTCACAAAGTGAGCAAATGTTGGCTAACCTCTTTAGCATAATGGGTACGGCATTAAGCAGGGGAGGAGGAACACTGTTTCAAGGAAATTCATACATTAAACAGTTGGGAAATAAAATTATGAAATAACCAATGAATCAACAGTCACTGTTACCATGTGAGTACCAAACTACTAGACTGGAAAAATATACTCATCTTAACTTCCATTTTCATTGCCTCAATTAATCTTTAATTCTCTATGCAAAATGAAACAACAGCCTTTAGCCACATTGGCAAGATAATTCTCCTAGGAGGCATCAGATATAATTTAAAATTCTTTTACAGAAACAAAGGAAATGAAGCCACATCTCTTACATTCTTGATGAAAGATCAAGCCATGAAATTTTGCGTAAAGTGATATGGCTCATCCACCTATCATAAATGAAAAATAAAAAACTGCTAATCACTCTTGAAAGATGTCATGTAATGTTCCTTACCTAGCACATGTGCTCTATGAGTAACTACTGGTTCTCGTACCTCAAGGTAAGCAGACAAATCTTATGTGATCCTGAAAGAGCTCTTTAGTTCTTAGCTACAGAGGGTTTTCTTTTACTCTTTCACGCACCACACAGCTTGGTATCGTTGGCAAACTTGCTGAGGGTGCACTCAGTCCCACTGTCTATGTCACTGACAAAGATGTTAAAGACCACCAATCCCAATACCAACACCTGAGGAACACCACTCGTCACCGCTCTCC